TAGCTCCGTGCAGAGCATTGTAGACATAGAATATTTGCAAAATACATACGGCCCTGAATGTGACAGACTCGTTGACTAAACTTCTCTCATGAGCAAAACATGATCATACCTTAGTACTCTTTGGGTGTTAATCACATAGCGATGTGAACTAGATTATTGGCTAGTAAACCCTTTGGGTGTTGATCACATGACTATGTGAGCTATGGGTATTAATCACATACAGATGTGAATATTGGTGTTAAATCACATGGTGATGTGAACTAGATTATTGACTCTAGTGCAAGTGGGAGACTGAAGGAAATATGCCCTAGAGGCAATAATAAAGTTATTATTTATTTACTTATTCCATGATAAATGTTTATTATTCATGCTAGAATTGTATTAACCGAAAACATAATACATGTGTGAATACATAGACAAACATAGTGTCAGTAGTATGCCTCTACTTGACTAGCTCGTTAATCAAAGATGGTTAAGTTTCCTAACCATAGACATGAGTTGTCATTTAATTAATGGGATCACATCATTAGGAGAATGATGTGATTGACTTGACCCATTTCGTTAGCTTAGCACTTGATCGTTTAGTATGTTGCTATTGCTTTCTTCATGACTTGTACATGTTCCTATGACTATGAGATTATGCAATTCCCGTTTACCGGAGAAACACTTTGTGTGCTACCAAACGTCACAACGTAACTGGGTGATTATAAAGGAGCTCTACAGGTGTCTCCAAAGGTACATGTTGGGTTGGCGTATTTCGAGATTAGAATTTGTCACTCCGATTGTCGGAGAGGTATCTCTAGGCCCTCTCGGTAACGCACATCACTATAAGCCTTGCAAGCAATGTAGCTAATGAGTTAGTTACGGGATGATGTATTACGGAACGAGTAAAGAGACTTGCCGGTAACGAGATTGAACTAGGTATTGGATACCGACGATCAAATCTCGAGCAAGTAACATACCGATGACAAAGGGAACAACGTATGTTGTTATGCGGTTTGACCGATAAAGATCTTCGTAGAATATGTAGGAGCCAATATGAGCATCCAGGTTCCGCTATTGGTTATTGACCTGAAACGTGTCTCGGTCATGTCTACATAGTTTTCGAACCTGTAGGGTCCGCACGCTTAAGGTTTCGATGATAGTTATATTATGAGTTTATGTGTTTTGATGTACCGAAGGAGTTCGGAGTCCCGGATGAGATCGGGGACATGATGAGGAGTCTCGAAATGGTCGAGACGTAAAGATCGATATATTGGACGACTATATTCGGACTTCGGAAAGGTTCCGAGTGATTCGGGTATTTTTCGGAGTACCGGAGAGTTACAGAATTTGCTGGGGAGTATATGGGCCTTATTGGGCTTTAGGGGAAAGAGAGAGGAGAGGTTGGGCACCCCCCCAAGGCCTAGTCCGAATTGGACTAGGGGGAGGGGCTGCGCCCCCTCCTTCCTTCTCTTCTCTCTCCCCTTTCCTTGACTCCTACTCCTACTACTTGGAAGGGGGGGGGGGGAATCCTACTCCCGGTGGGAGTAGGACTCCCCATGGCGCGCCCCCTCCTAGGCTGGCCGCCCCCTTCCCCCTTGCTCCTTTATATACGGGGGCAGGGGGGCACCTCTAGGCAGAACAACAATTGATCCCTTGGATCTCTTAGCCGTGTGTGGTGCCCCCCCTCCACCATAGTCCACCTCGATAATATTGTAGCGGTGCTTAGGCGAAGCCCTGCAACGGTAGAACATCAAGATCGTCACCACGCCGTCGTGCTGACGGAACTCTCCCTCGACACTCGGCTGGATCGGAGTTCGAGGGACGTCATCGAGCTGAACGTGTGCTAGAACTCGGAGGTGCCGTAGTTTCGGTGCTTGATCGGTCGGGCCATGAAGATGTACGACTACATCAATCGCATTGTTCTAACGCTTCCGCTTTCGGTCTACGAGGGTACGTGGACAACACTTTTCCCTCTCGTTGCTATGCATCACCATGATCTTGTGTGTGCGTAGGAATGTTTTTTGAAATTACTACGTTCCTCATCAAAAACGATAGTCAACTACGGTCCTTCTCCTTACTACATAGGGATCAGACTGTCTCCACAGTATCAGACCTGCATCTTTTCTGTCTTTCATGTTCTCAGCAATGGGGTGGTTATCATCATGATCAGGTATCTTTGGCTTCAGCTTTCTGAGCACTTGATGTTCCTCTTTGTCTTCAACTTCTTGTTGGGAAACGTAGCATGCAATTTCAAAAATTTGCTTTCATGTGTGTCTTTAGTGTGTGAATTTTAGGATCTGGTATGTATGAATAAAAAGGAATGAATACTAAAATGCATCACCATATTGCGCTTGGCTATGATTTAACGGATGTGATGTTATCATTTCCCAATCACAATTAAGTAAACTATTTGCATTTACTTCTTAAATTGTTATTACTTACTTCGGGACCTTCTAACTTCTATATTTCCTTACAATTTTATCGTTGGAAAGTGCAATGTTTGTTAAAGCATTATGGCTTTGTGTGAGTTTGCTATCTCTGGATAGAAGGAAAGCAGGTTTCAATGAGGCTAAATATTACTTTTGTTTTTATGCTCACCTTGATCGTTCAACTTCTTAGCTATAAAAAAACACTCAACTATGATGATCATCATGTTCTATTATCCATTCCTATAATATCATATCTAGTAACAAATACTCCCTCCATTTTTATTTACTCCGCATATTAGCTTTGGTCAAAGTCAAGCTTTGTAAACTTTGACGAAGTTTATAGATAAAAATTTTAACATGTACAATAACAAATCAATAATATTATATTCATTATTGAATGTACTTTCGCATCATTTAGATTTGTTATGGTAAATATTTATATTCTTTTCTATAAACTTGGTCAAACTTTACAGAAGTTTGACTTCAGTCAACTCTAATATGCAAAGTAAATAAAAACGGAGGGAGTACTATGTTCCTTTTTAATTTCTAGCCCATGTCGGCACATAGGTTGATGACTAATTGTAATAACCAAGGTGAGTGAGTTGATCAATGAAGAGACCAACATTTGGGTTGAACAACTTGTGTCTGACATCTTATGGTCGATTGATGCCCTACATATCATCAACATAGCATTGGTAGTAGGAATGATGGAGGATTTTATATCTTGTGGCCATACAAAATCCGATCCCTCTTCGGTTAAATCAGCCTATCATCGTGAATAGAATTTTCAGCATGGACGTAAACAGGAACGAACTTCTTATTTTCATTGCTCTTCTAGAGAAATTTTGTGAAAGAAAATCCGACTGCTTATCTTCTTCAAATATAAGAAAAATGCTTGGAGAGTGATGAAGGGAGCTCTCCCATGGAACGGATCCTTGGTGAACATGCGCGTTATTTCGAGTGGCCAATGTCTGATTTGCTCTGTTCAATGTGAAAGCATCGATCACACTATGCTCTTGTGACCTAGTTAGAGAAATCTGGGGCCACCTAGGCTTGAGAGCAAAAATCTCTGAAGCTATTCGGGTTGACCGACAAGATTGTCCTCTACTTCAACTGTTATTGCATATGAGGCTGGCCTTGGCCTCGATTCCGACGGCAATTGAATGGGAGGAGCTGCTCGAAGTGGCTTCCTAGTACAGGTGTTGGGAGTGATCACAGGAAGACTGAGGTGAAGTGGTTCAAGCTCCGGCGAAGTCGAAACAGGCAATCCATGAACTCGGTCTTAATTATGCTAGAGCAAAGAAGAAAGTCATGGGTATTCACATAGGTGGTTGGGAGAAGTTGTTACTGTACTTTGCAAAACTTAACATTGAAGCAACTTTCGACACCCTTGAGAAAATAGGTGTTCATGGTGATCATGGTAACTTTATATCTTGTAGCAACTGTGGCACCTCATGTTGATTCTCGAGCTATGGTTGTGGCAATTGCTTTGTGGAGCAGTCCTATCTATGCAGAGCAGGTGGGGCAGAACAAAAAATTTGGTTTACTCAGATTGCATGGATGTCGTTGACACGACGAATATTGCGGAGCTATAGCTATGTCAGCAGGGATCGCCGTCCCCCAGCTTTGGGAAGACTTGTGAATGAACTTTCATTATGAGCAATGAAATTAAGAAGAAAATAATCTTTTAGCCACTCAGTGATTCATGTTTTGCCCTTTGCTCCTTAGTGAAGTCATCTAGCTTCGCCACCGATGATTCAAGAACGATGGTTATAGCTCCTTTGCATGTCGTGATTTTGCTACCATCAAGTCCGGACACTGTCCTAGGGAAGCCAATCAAATCGTGCGTATCTTAGCTTGTAAACCGTGGAATTTGTTGCTAGTAATCACTTACATGCAATGCACGCTGATATTATGCATTTTATTAGTTGCACAATAATAGTACTTCCTTCGTCCTAAAAAGTTTGTCTTGATGTATCTAGGCACGTTTTAGTGGTAAACACATTCATGTCTAGACAAATCTAAGACAAGCATTTTTGGGACGAAAGTAATATTAGCCAGGACATTAATTTTGTATTAATTAGAGGCATATTGGGTATGTTATTACTTACAGGCTAAATGTGCACTAAATATCCTGAGCCCTCATCATTCAAGCAATCTAAGTCGTTCAATGACATGATTTGATGGACGAGATTAATTGTAATAGTATTGGCGCAATTGTACCGCTAAAAAAGTATTTGCTCAATAATGTGTCTTCTATCCAAATAATGTGGATAAAGTCGGCATGATGTTTTTCTAAAACAAAACAATAATCCATTCCTACTAAAGAACCACATTGATCCACATCTCTTTGATAACGCCAAGCTCGGCGCAACGGTCATTTCCGCAGGCACACTGTGCCCCAGCTCCCCCCAACGTACACTTGGGCTGCCCCACCACCACCACCGCCGCCCCACCCGATTCAAATCTGAGCCGGCCAACATCCGCGCACCACCACCAGAAGCGGCAGCGGCAATTACACTCCTGTCAGCCCACTCCAGCGCAGCCCCCCACGCCGAACCCGCCGCCCAGATCCGACCGACCCCCATGGGCGCCGAGCCGGACCAGCCCCCCTCCCCGCCCCCGCCGGAGCGGACCGCGTCGCCGGAGCGCGACGCCCTCCGCAGCGACGACCGGGTAAGCAATAGCACCAGCGCATTCCTTTCCTTCGGCCGCGTCGCATCTGGGCCGTGTTCCGGTGCCTGATTTCGCGTTTCTGATTTGGCTCGATTGGTTCCCAGGACTGGAAGGCGGAGATGATGTCGGCGCTGGGGGAGTCGGTCTCCTTCGGCCGGTTCCTCGCCGAGCCGCTCGAGTGGGGCCGGTGGTCGGCGTTCGAGCACAACCGCTACCTCGAGGAGGCCGCGGGGCAGTCCCGCCCCGGATCCGTCGCGCAGAAGAAGGCCTTCTTCGAGGAGCACTACGCCAGGAAGCGGAAGAGCGCCGATGTCGAGGACGAGGAGGGCGACGAGGGGCGCGATGCTGATGCGGACGGTGCGTACGGCGAGGCCTGGTCGGCGGGCTCCTCGTGCATGACGGACGAGCCCGCGGGGGAGGAGACCGGCGGCGTAGATTCGGGTGCTCCGGATGATTGCGGCGCCGTCGCCGATGCCGCTGCGCCGCCGGTGGAAGCGCCTCAGGAGCTGGAGGCCGTTGCGGACGGCGCTGCTCCATCTTGCCGCTTGGATAGCACGGACGAGCAGCGTGGTGTGCAGGTTGCTGAAGCGAGAAAGGGGCTGCAGTTGGATACTGAATGTGCCCTGGCTGCTGTTGATGCCGTTGAGAAGCAACCGTTGCAGGTGACCTCTCAAACGAGAATTTTGTTCATAGTGCGCAGGTCAATTTTTATACAAGTAGGAGTACTTAAAATCATGTGAATTATTTGCAGGAGAGTTCGATTGTCAACCAGGGTGTGGCAGATTCTGTGGAGAAGAAGAGGCATCCAATGTCGTCGCTATTTCAGAAGCCTGCAGAATTCAGTTCTCCCCCATCAGGAAAGAAAGTGCCGTCTTCATCAGCCAAAAGGCGGTCCATGCTTCGTCCTGCAAAGGAAAACAGCTCACCATTTCCTGCTACTGACAGTAACAAGCAAGAAGAGACTTCAGTTGCTCAGAAAGGGTCGATACTGGGTACACTGAACTTCAGGAGATGTGAAATAGGCGATCCTGCCTCCAGATCAAGAAATCTTGGCTCCACGATTGCTTCAAGGATTAGTCAGCTAGAGTCTGCAAGTAGGCTGGTGAAAGATATTCATCCTAAGGTGAACAAACAGAGGCGGACAAGCAAGGTTTGTAATTTCCTGATGCATTGTGTGAATTCAACGTTATGGAGTTTCCAGTCTCACAAAACACAAATAAGTTGGTTTGCTCTATTTCAGGGGTTCTGCAAAGACATTCCAGAAACAGCTTCCATAACAACTCAGCAGCATGAACAAAGGTATCACTCAGATGCCAAAAGTCAGCATAGCAGTTGATTGATATCTGATCATAGCAAAACAGTTTAACCTTACTTAGATGGAACTGAATATTCCAGAAATGAAAATTCAAAGCATATTGCTTTTTGCTCTGATGTTCTGATGTCTGTCTTATTTCTTTCTGAAATATGGTAAATGCGATTAAACATAAAAGCCATCATCTGACTGTCCTCTTGCATCATATCCAGGTCTCCATATGTCAGTGTGACAAGGGTCAAAGAAAAGTTTTTTGGTTCAACTGCGCCACCGATGCATCCGGAAACAAATATAGATAAAGAAAATATGGTAAGCAATAAAGCCTGAATGAGACAGTGGCACATGTTATTTCGAGTTATCCTCATTTGAATTAAATTTCTTTCAAGGAGCATCACAATAAGACAATTTCTATGATTATCTTGTAAGAACTTTACTCTCTAATCAGTATTTGTTTCCAAAAGAAGACCAAAACGAAAAGGATTATAGTACATTATATCAAACCTTATGAGCAATTGTTATGCAGGGAAAAGCGAACGATGAAGCTGGATTGAAAGAAATGCATCAAAGCGTTCGTTTCAAGGCCAGGTCACTGCCAAATTTTTATTGGAGAAGTAAAGAATCAAAGGATTCAAGGCAGGTATAAATTGTGTCAAATTCAAAAAGCATTAACCATCGGTTCCGTGATGCTATTTTATGAATTGTTGTTTGATTTCTTATTTAAAATAAACCTTTTTAAAATACTGTGTTCTTAATGGTAGTTTGTGACAAGCAATTGGTTAGCAGCTCAGTTTGGAGCATAGTTGCTAGACATTCAGGTTGAGGAACTTTGTCACGGGTGGCTAAGAATGTCTCCAAATTCAAAGGAAAAATAACAAATGTCAATTAATTTGATTTGTTCTTTTTAACGTGTGTGTTAGTTTGATGAACTCTGTGGTGGGGGGTTAAGAATATGTCCACGTGTCCAAAGGAAAGAGAGAAAAGTATTTTCATGTCTTTTTGTAATGGTAGTCCGTGGCAACCAACTGGTTTGTAGTTAAGTTTCGAGAATAGTTGGTAGGAACCCAGGTTGAGGAACTTTGTCATGGGTAGTGGGTGGCTAAGAATGTGACCATGTTACTACTAGCTGACTAGCACTACTCCCTTTTGATCCATACTTTTAGCCACGCATGGCTAATGACCATGTTCCTTTACCCTGGTTCTTGCTGGTAACTATGGATGAACATGGGCCATGAACTACACTGGTATGCCTGAAACATTTCTGGATCATTTTGAAATTGTGACAGTGTTTCAATTCATTGAGTTTAAATCTCTAGCCTTAAACAAATGAGATCCAATGGATCAATAAATAATGATTTATATCTAGTTTATGGAAGTTGAAACTACCTAAGTACTGGTTGGTTCAGCACCAGTAATCGAAGTTGTGAATAGCCTGTTCTTTGATCAAAGTTGTGATCTGTGTTTCTGACAAGGGTCTTAATGCAGGGGGCACGAGAGACCCACCAAAATCCGCCGAACAGCGATCATAGACTGAATGATGATGCCAGTGACCCACACGGAATGAGCAGAGGAGCCTCGAAGGACAAACAAATATGTTGCTTCCCACTTATAAGGCGGTAGTAATAATATGCTTGTAGGCCGGCCTGTCAGTACATAGTAGCTTATTAATTTAATTTGATTATGTTTGTGTAACCACCTATGGCTTCTATCGGTAGTTATACTATTATTATTGGTATCCTATATCCTTCTAATGTATAGTCAGATTCCTTTTTGTAATCATGACTAGCATTTTCTTGCTTGGAAAATAAAGCACATGCGTTGAGAAGTATTATTCCGTGGTGTCTACTGGCAATGTTTCAACAAAGGGAATATATTAATATCGCGGAGATACCAATTACACCTGGCCTCTGCAACAACGCAATGTTGTAAAGACATTACGGATGCATGCAGCTAAAAGATCCTGCTACAGTGATCAATTCATTGAAGCTGCAGCACGAACCACCACCTAGACAACACTCGAACCTTGAAGTTCCAATTCTCCAAAAGCGACGACTTCAAAAAGGAAACAATGCAGAAGCACCGTCATCACCCCGATCCTACATATTAGGTTTTCACCCTGGAGAAGACCCACGCTCTCAAAACAATGCCTTCAGCAAGGTCACCGCCAGGGACAACTAATTAAGGCCAGACCTTGGGCTTTCACCCTGAAAGCTAAGACTCTATACTCTGACTGTGCTACTGATGCCGCTGCCATGAGTCACGAAACACCAAGCAAAGTCCTCATTGCCACGAAGACTCGATCCGCCATTACAAGGCCTTAGACATCAGCCACCATGACGTTCTCTATCACTTCTTCACCAAGGAAATCGAAATACCGACGTGTCCCATACAGTCAACATACAACGATGTTTCGCGTCACACCCTCCTGAAGCCACTCGGGCTGAAATCGAGGCGCACACGACTGGATCCCATCCGATCCAGAAATCTACAGGCGTCAAACACCCAATGAAGATCTCCAATAGAGCATTATGGAACTCGTCAATGACTAGATCCATGAGGGCCGACAACTGGCAGAACACCATCTTAGAGCAAAAAGAACCCAAAGACCACGCCATCCACCGCCCCCCAACAGTAGGCCGTAGATCTCGGCAGGCAGAAGGCGCCACCACCCGCACCACGCGAACATGAGTAGCTGAGCCGCACCGAGTTCCCCAAACCAGACGTCGTGCCGCCCTCGCGGCCACAGCGGCAGTTGATGTCGCCGGAGAAATCCGAGGACCCGCCACCGCCGTCAGCCTCACCGCCTTAGACCGGAGGCGTCCTTCGGCGGCAGCAGGGGAAGTAGGATCGAAGGAGGAAGAGGTGGCGGCTGCGCTAGGGATCCGCTCGAGTTGCCCCTCCTAGGAGCGACGCAGGGGCGATCCACTTTTTTCGAGTTGCTTGTGTTTTTTAAAAGTGGGAGAGGGTACCGTCACAAATTTGCATCCCTAGCTGAGATTGTGAGTAGTAAGACTATACAACTACACTCCAGTTTTGAAAAAAGAAGTTTCAAAACAAAACACTCCAAATCCAACACAGAATATCGTATGGACATAAGCAAAAGGACACCTCTGATTTTACCAAGTTGGAAGTAACATATCTGATTCCTGTAAATCTAAGCCTAACAAGTAAGGGTTCGGATTTACTTCAGATCACTTACCTCATTGTTGGGCAATAAGTATCTAGGCCAAAAAGCGTTGTCCCAGGCATACTGAAAACCTGGTGATTCACATTTTTGGTCTTGTCTGATGGCGGTAAAGAAACATTTGTTCCGTTTTGGATCATTCGCGATAAAGGACGGTTCCGAGATACGTTTCTCGGAAGACAGGTGGCTAGGAAACGCCACTCTTCAAGAACAGTATCCGGCCTTATATCGCATTGTACGCGATAAGAATGATACTCGGGTGGCTGGTGATGGCTCTATTTGTTTTCCTTTTTTTGACCCAAATTTAGAGCTCTTGTGGCATTAAAAATCATTATAAATGTCTCATTGATCCAGTTGCATGTCCATTACGCATGATATCTAGTTTGCAATCATTTTTATTGTGAGCAATGCTTTGTCTTTATTTTTATTAGATTTTAGCCGTATTTGTTTTGTTGTGTTTGTAGGTAATTTCAATTTCAACTCTCATAAACTTAGCATGATGAAAGGAGCAACCACTAATACCCCAGTCGCACACAATTTTTGGAACCGTGTGCTCAAGTGGGCTGATGATTTGGCTGGTTCATCACTGAGAAGAGAAAAACGCTTGCGATCCTAAAACCGTCCACATGATTGTAATTAGCCGATTCATGTGTGATTATGGTTTCAGTCGCCCATAATTCGTTTATACAGGACGTGTGTGATAGTACGTCTATCAATGATATTTTTTGTCTGCTCATCGTGCGTGATTATCAGAGTCATCGCACACGGTGTCTTGCAGGTGTGCTAATCTGCCAATCGCACACGCTTCTTTTTCTAAAATCGTTTGTATTGTTGTCATTCATTGCACATAGTTTGTTTTATTGAACCGTGTCCAACATCATGATGAGCACAATAGGTTTTTTCCTTTAACTTAGGCCGTGTTCGGCAGCTCTCCGGCTCCGTATAATACGGGGAGCAGACGGAGCGCCAGTTTTCCAACTCCAGAAAAATGCACTGCGGACCGCTCTGCTCCAGCCGCTTCAGGAGCAGAGCCGTGGAGCGGAGGGCCGCCGAACACGGCCTTAATGTACATGCAAATCATATATCCACTACATGCAGTTCAAAGGCAGACAATATAATTCATGTCACGCACGCACGCACGCGTTCTAAAGGCAATTCGGATTTTTAAGACGCATTCACGGCGTGTGATCAGTAGAGAAGCAAACACAAGGGTGGCTCATGTCCACAGAACAAAGAGAAAGAACTACATAATAAGAATCTAAGCTTCCTCCAAAGGGAGTCGCCTTGCATTATGATATACTCCCTCCGTCTCAAAATAAGTGTTGCTTAGTACAACTTTGCACTGGAGTAATAAATTTGATAAGCAAGAATCACCCCACCATCAAGAAATACTCTAATCTATGTGTATCTATGACCCTGTTTGGTTCAGCTTTTATTGATGGATTCCGCTGCCGCGCAGCAGAATCTGAACTAAAGGGCGAACCCAGCAGAATCCTATTCCAGAAATCCGCTACCAAAATTTGAACCAAAAGCGGAAGCAGCCCAGGACGTGCTTTCCAAAATCTGATTCCACTGTGGGCCAAAATCTGAAAAAGCTGTATCAGCTGGTTTGCCAAATGACCTACATCTTTTTCACATCAGATTTTCCACAACAGATTTTTCACAACTACTTTTAGAAATCAACAGCCGAACCAAACAGGGCCTACAATAGAATA